CCGGTTAAAGGAAATCAAGCAAATTGTCTAATTCATTTGTAATATATATATGTGGTATATTTTCTTTTCCAATATAGTAACTTCAGTCAGTAACAACTTCTATTGTTCTCACTAATGCTGTTTGTATGTGCATTCAGTTTGCTTCCTGATAGACAGGCAAGACGAGGAAGGAGCAGGCGAGACTAAGACGGCAGTCTGCATTCTGGACGTAGCAGTTTGGCTGCTCGAGAAGGCGCTAAGGAGGTCTGTTTGCATCAAAACTGAATTCCAACCTAAGTTTTTTTTTGGTCAACAGTTTTATGTAGACATAAAGCACAGACATAGCATTGTGCAACTTTCATAAATCAAGTAGTTGAAGACATTCCTTATTTCAATTTCAAAACCAGATACCCAAACCCCAGAAATTAAACTAGTTGCAGATACATTCCAGATAATCTTCTGATTTTAGATTTTAGTTCTAGTTCCTGTACAGCTTCCCAAATTTTCTACCTTAATATTGTTACTCCACTTTGGCATGAATAATTCATCAGTTTGGAAGGAATCACAGCGTATTTCCAGTAAAAGAAGAAAATAAAGATGCAGCTAGGTATTTTATAATGCAACCCAAGGCTTTTTAGAGAGGCTGAGCATATTTCTTTGAGTATATTTGAGCTCAAGTAACAGGAGCAAGTTTCTCTGCTGTCAGTTCCAAGCGTTTTTCAGCACAGACAGCCCAAAAGCTGCTTTAGTTTTGTTCATGGTCATGTTCCTGTCGCTGTTTCGCTGGTCGTGTCTTGCTTTTTTTGCTGACTTGTTTGTCTGTATCTGCAGAGATTCTCTTCATTGCTCTGTTTGTTAAAAACATGTATACATGTGTATGCCTACACACACACACACACACACACACACACTGCTCTGCATTCAAATCAGTCCCATACGTCTGCGCTATTTCCCACACTTGGGGAGAACCCATGGGACCCTACAGCTCAGCTGTCGCCTCACCCTCAGCGTGGCTTAGTCCTTGTGTGAATGATTTGCTGCAATTCTAGCCATTGCTGAACAAAGGGGTCCCTCTAAATTGTTTCCTGAAATAGGCTGAGTGGAAGATAATTAGCATGCCAGCAACTTCAGCAAAGTGCTGCAATTGCTCACAGATCAAAGACTCATTCACTGGGAACTTAGCTGATGGAGAGCTACAGAATATTCTTTATGGCTCTATCATAGGAAACTGAGTAAAACACAGGGGTTTAGTTCTACTTCTGGAATTGCTCTTCAGTGAGCACTGGGTTGTCTAAATGCTACACATTTTAATGACATTTTTTAGTAAAAATTTCAGGTCAGCTTTTCTACTTTTTCTTTTCCCATCAGCTGTCTAGTGAATCTGATCATTATTTTCATTAAAGTCTGAAGTTTTTATTAAAGTGCAGGCAGCTAGTGCCTGAAGACAGAATTTAGGGCCCAGACTGCCAGCGTGTTCTTAGTTTCCAGAGATACACAGATGGTTATGGTGTGCTGAGACTGAAGTGCAGCGTTAGCTTGAAGTTTGCTACAGGTTAGTCCTGCTTTGGCAGACTCTTCCCATTGCTTAAAGTTTCAAAAGTCCAAAATTCCTTTGTTAATTTTTTAATTTTCTTTTCTGCTGCAATTTTAAATTTAAAAGGGATGTCTTGTAGGTTCTTCTCTGCTGGATCCCATATCTGCCAGCTTTCATTTGTGACACGCATTTGAAAAGTATATAGAGACTTTTCCTTGCCTAGCACAGAACACTCCTCATGGCTGGGTTTACCTTTTCCTCTGGCTCTCGGATGAAGAAGTATTTTTGTCAGTGCAACTTATCAGCTAGCTTGAAACTGCTTAGACAAGCAGTCATTTAAACGATTTTATTTCCAGAGATTTAGCAATAAATATAAAATGCATATTGATCCTTGGAGCAAGTCTTACTTCTTTTTGATGAAGAGCTCTATTTAATTTATACCTTTAAAATCATCTGTTCCCTTGTGATGTTCCTTACCATGAAACAGGCAAAGTTATAGTTTCCATGCAATTATATTATCTATCATGGTTAGGGACCTTGTATGTTATGTGCTTATTCACTTATTTTTATAGAATTTACATTTTAGCTTTCTGCAAAGTAATGAACAAGCAATTTTTAGATTTTAGGTTGGATGTGCCCTTGTAATATATGTTCTTTTATCTTGTTTCTTTCTAGGTTCTCTCTTTGAATGCCACTGAAATAGGTATTCCAGAGTTTTGCTTATTGCTATCAAAGCCAGAACCCTGTGAGCCAGTGAGGCATTTGTTTCCTGCCCTGTGTCACAATTTTATGTTGTCATTGTTAATGTGACAACATGACAATATGAGGTTTAGATTGGATATTAGGAAGAATTTCTTCACCAGCAGGGTTATCAAGGACTGGACCAGGCTGCCCAGGGAAGTGGTTGAGTCACCATTCCTGGGGGTATTTAAAAGACAGGTAGATGTGGCACTTAGGGACATGGTTTGGTGGTGGACTTGGCAGTGTTGGGTTTGCGGTTGGACTCGATGATCTTAAGGGTCTTTTCCAACCTAAATGATTCTATGATTCTATGATTTCCAGGCTGTGTTTATATAGATTGTGATTTAGGACAAGACTGGCGTGGCCTACTTCTGTGTGTGGAAAATGCAAAAGGGTTTTGGATGCCTTCTGTGCTCCCAGTTGTTGCTACCAGTAGAGTGACTAGAGCATGGACCATAAGCAGATGCAGGTAATAGTAGCGGAGGGGACAAAGCTACTACTATAACCTACGGCAGAGCTTCTGTATAGTCACTACATTCTATTACAAGCTGCTCTTCTTCTGACAGAGGTGGGCCAGGTGGTGCTCAGGCGTTAGCTCTACACTGGTTAGCTGCCAGACTACGTAGCAGTAAAGTGGGATACTTGCAAGAATACTTTTTCTTTCCCAGAGTAGTGCAAGGAAGTGAAAGGGAAGAATCAGAGGACTATGGATCTCTGATGATATGGTTCCCAGCCTGTTGCTGGGAATAAAAGCTACATACTGCTTCAGTTGTGTAGGTCATGTTAGGCTGAGAACTGTCTTTTGCTTCTTGGAAAAAAAGAATTCAGAAACTGAGATGGAAAGGGACTTTTCCCAACAGTAAGAGAAATTTTCCAGTGGTGGCATCTGGTTCATGCTTTCTTAGCAAAGTAAACTGTGCTCTGCACAAATCTTGGCTACTTTGATCTGAGGCCTCCAGGGATTTGACCCATCCCCAACAGAGAAGGGCAGCATTTATATATTTCTGAAGTATTTCAGCTATCAGCTGTCCTTCAGTCTGTTGCACCTCTCACTGTGGCATAGCCATCACATCCCTTCTGTCTTTCACCAGGAGTAAGGATGAGGATGAGATGGGTCACTATAGCAGCCCTTTATTGACTATAGATTTCTATACAGGGAAAATTATTTCTGTAAAAAGTGATTCTTCCTGGAACCATTACAAACCCAGATGTTGTAGTGGCAGAGAAATATACGCTACTGAGGAATGAGACAGCACTGTGGATTATCATCATTTGCGTTCCCACTAGTGCTCTCAAAAAGAAAGATATTAAATGCTGAAATACAAGAGAGAACGCAACAGAGATTTAGGGTATTATTGGCACCTGAGTCTACAGTCATTATACTGTGGCATGGAAGGGTGCAGGGATGTGAGGACAAATGACTAAAGAACAAAATATCCTAGCTGAGTTATGGTACTTTCTTGTAGGGAGTATTGTCTGGTTCTTCCACCAGCATTGGGGGATCCAAAATTGTTTCCATCATTTCAAATGCAGAATGATTATTTAATTGTTGAGAAGTCTCCAACCAGATCATCCTGACAGGATGCTTCAGCTGAGAGAGATGGCTGAGGATATATTCAGTTTCCTAAAATAAAATCTTAGGCATCTAAGCTTTCACTGGAAACTTTGGATACATCCTCCTGTTCTTTACACACCCAATATTAAAAAAAAAAAAAAAAACAAAAAACAAACTAAGTCTTTGTTTTCAGCCTTTTCTGCAGTATTTGAAAATACATTTGCTACATTTTCTGCAGATTTTTAAATCTCCAGTCAGGATCAGTAACAGGCACTATCCCAAAAGATATCAAAACAGTCCTGAATTCACTGACTGAACTCCCAATGCTGCAAGGCCATTTGTAAAGGCAGACATTTGTGCCAGCAGTAAGATTCTTGCAGGACTGTGTCCTTACATCAAATAGAATAAAAGAAAGGAACCAGTGAAATATAAATGGTCTTACCATACATTTGTTTCTATTGTTAATATAGATAGATGAAGATGTTCATGGAATCTAAAGGACTACATTTTTGGCTATGGCACGACAATCTGTTTTATGTATGAGCTGTATGTAATTATATTGAAAACAAACTTTGTTTCGAGAACATTTTTGGCTCCACTGTGCAATAACACAAAGGGCCTTTGTTATGCTCTCAGCAGAGTTATTTATGGATTGCGAAGGACTTACTAAAGGACAGTTTCATCTGATGGTATTCATCCACTAACTCGAATTTAAATGTAGTGACTTATGTTCATACAAATCATAATTACTAATATGATCAACCAGACAAAGATTTCTGAAACTAGAAATGGGATTGCTCTACAGATTCAGACCTGGAATAGCAGTAAAAAGTGGGGTTTCAGATCCAGGGCTTTGAATGAGCCAGAATGGAAAATGCGACAAAAGGCTTTGCATAATTCACATCAATTATAATCATCTTCAGTTGAATTGAAAATGAGGCTCTTGGTCTCTTAAATGGAAAAAAAAGTCACAGAGAGCAGAGGGAGCTAACTGACTGTTGGGAAGAAAGGAATCCCAGGGCAAAGTGGGTTTGTGAACATCTGCCAAAAGCTCCTACAGGACCTTATGAAGGAGACCGTGCTTTCCTCTGGCTCACGTAAAACCACCATTACAGTAAAGGATTACTTTCAGAAATCCTGCTTTCCCCCAATTTTTCCTTCCTGGCCTGTGTGACTTGGGAAGCATCCAACGTCAACTTTCTGTTCTACTTCAAGCTCAGCATGACCATGGACAAGCTCTTTAGGGCCATATTCAGAACACTTGCTATCAGTACAAACCTCTGGTTTTGCAACTGCTGTGGCATCTAGGTTTAAAAGTGTGCCGCTCAGCAATTCAGAGCACTGTTTGTACAGGACTGGAAGACCCAGCTTCCCTCTGGCACCAGTGGAGGAGGTATTTATGATAGTGAAGTTAACTTGCACCAGTCTGAACATAGCCCCTGTTCATTCTTTTGCTTTGGCTTCCCAACTGTAAAATAGATGGTCAGTAGTTATTTACCTCACTGAGTTCCTGTAAAATTAAACACTTCAGAAGAAAAAACACTTCAAAAGCACTGAGATATTGCAAGAAGGGAGGTTATATAAATGTAATCCAATTATATAAGCTTCTTCAGATGAATTGCATTTTCATTACCATAACCTTCTGCTACGTCCTTGTTGTTTATTCATGCTATTAGTGGCTGCAGAGACTAGATGTTATTTCAGATGAGGAATCCCAGTCTTATTTTCTTTACTCAGTGAAGAATTTTCTTTTGGTCATGCAAACTGCTTGCAGGTCACATTGGCTCCATCCGTAGTTACAAACACTGAATGCTTCTAACGATCAGGGCCCGTTATCTGAAGAATTTCAGAATTTCTTTACTATAACATTTCCCTCCTTGCCACTGCCAGGATCCACTATGACCTATAGCTACCATCGAACTCAAAGGTCATTGTGACCCTATGGGAAATGACAAGAAACACTGTCTGGATGGAAGGAGGTACATGTAGTCTCAGGAAATAAGTAGACCAACTTGGCATCATCATCAGTTCACTGTTTACAAACTATTCCTTGACATCGTGCTGTTCTTTAGTTATTAACCAAATAATTAAGTGTAGTAATTAACTATTTAGTTAATTTAGTTATTAACCAAAAGCACTGGATTCTAAGCAGGTTCTTATTCTGAGTGATTGACGGCATTGTTCTGTGGTTTACTTTAGAAACCGCTTGAGGGGGCAGCAGGTTTTTGCATGGAAAATATTACTGTCTTTCATGTGTAAGGAAATCTTGAGCTGTGAGTATCACACATTTTATTATTTTAATGAATTCCATGCATCAGGTCATTGAAGATTGTAACAAAAATGTCACTGTGTGCTCCTGTAAATGAGCGTCATTTTTGCTGGTTTATGGAAGCTTGATGTATATGTTCTCTGAGTAGAAAAAAAACTGAAGAATGTCCTACCAGATGTGTCTGCAAAGCACATTTTATAGCTGTAGGGTGCCCATAGGATTGGATTCATGAGTAAGTCTATCACATGCATAACACACATTTAGGCACTACTTTTAGAAATGAGGCCAGGATATTAGGACAAAAGAATGAGAAGAGCTTTGATTTATTAGCTACAACTAGCTGGCCAAGTAATGGAATAGGCTATGTTACTCAGAAATCTCTTTATGCTTCAGATAAATAGCTGTTTGTTAACCAGACACCCTATTAAAACAGATCCTGTTCTAGCCAGACTATTAAACTGAGCCATGAACAGTAAAGACATACCTAATAGGGAACACAGTCCATGCTTGCTGTTAATGCCTTTGCTGTAGTTAGCTACACTGTGTGACTGTCTGTTTGCCTTGATCCTGGCTACTCAGCGACGCTGCAGGGAAGCACACCAGCCCAGAGGTCTGGAGTGAAGCACTTTGGTCTGTCAGCCTTGAATGCTCACCTGTGTGATATGCCCAACTATTAATAACGCGAGGGAATATTTATTTAAATCCATGATTTTCTGCGTATATTAGTGAGAACAGAATAGCTAATCAGGTTTGCAGAGGATTTCTGCACAGTTTATGCACAAAGCTTTGAACCAAGGGCCAAATCCTTGTTTGGCCAAACAATTTTCTGCATACAATTGGAAAAGTGCTGGCAGTTACCTTTTGGGCATACTCCTGTCTCCTTTCTGTCCTCAGCTGAGGACGATTTCCTGACACAGCTTTTCAGTAACACCTCAGAGTACTCTAAGCTAAATATTCTGGTAAATATTACAAGTAAAAATCAAAGGTCTGAGTTGCAACGCTGTTACACCTTGGGCAGTTCATAACGATTCTGTCCAGTGTAAATGTAAAGCATGAACAGACCATAATTCTTTACTTTTGTACTTCTATGCAGCCTTCCTTCCATAGGCTTACATAACAAAACTGATGAACTATTTTAATTTTCTAGCCAAAGGCAACTGGAATGTGAGCTGTCCTGGCCACTCTCTCACACCTTTGCAATGTTCCATATTCCCACATGTGGGAAGAAGCTAGTGGGTAAGAGTCAGGCGTATCATCTTTATGCCACCCAAGGCTTGCTTCATTTCCAGGCAAGCACAGCTAATCCAGTTTCTGTCCCTTTGTGCTGCTGTACCAGGGTGAATAGAATGGAGCTCATACGGCTTCAGGTCCAAAAACAAAATGCAAGTTGTCTTTCAGGTCAATGGTGCAAATACTAATTATCTTTGAGTCCTGTCTGCCTAGCAGAACCAGCAGAACCAGTCACATTAAACATAGGTGTAGCAGTATGAAAGTAGGGTGGAATCACAATGATTTGTCTGAGACAACCATTCTCATATGAATAAAAGCATCAGGAAAGGCAGTAGTAGGTTTAAAGAATATAGCCTCAATTTGCTGTTCAGTTATGGGCAGTCTTGCCAGGATAGCAGACAGAAGCCTGGCAAGGTCTAGCCCTGCAGAAAGCAGTGGCTACAGCGGATGCAGTACTGCACGCCTGTCAGATCAGCTAAACTCTGCCCTACTGTGTGGTAGATGCTGTGTTGTACAGCATTCAGTATTACACACAGTGTCTCTTTGCCTCTGTATTACTCACTGTGTAGGACAAACACACAAGTAGGCAGATTTAAGGACATCTGGTTAAATTTCTTAACTACTAAGAACTAAACTTTGGAAATTTGCATTCTAATAATGTTGGGACTTCAGAGTAGTGTTAGAGGGGAGGCAAGGAGAAGGTAGTGTTTAGATATATTTTAAGTTTTACATTTGTTAACTACCTTCCACCTTTTTTCTCCACTGTCCTGTGCCTTATAATTTAAATCTGTTTGTCTACATTGTATGCCATATGAGTTTTTAAAATAAGAGCTGATCTGGCCATATTCAAAGAAAAACTTCAGTCCAGCCCTTTTATTCTGGCAGTAAAATAAGACTGAAATGTTCCACAATTGGAGACTTAATTAGCTTTGAGAGTGCTTGTAAAGAAAACACTTCATTGTTAAGTAACAAATACAGGTGTAATTAAGTCTGTTCTGAAATTAAATAGAAATTAATTGCTCTTCTGATTTCTGTCTGTGTATACAAACCTGAGAAGCCATTTGAGGTTCCGCCTTCCCCTGTCCTAAAGCCATACAGAGTCGCCAGGAGGCAGTATTTGCACAGATTGCTACAAGCTTGTGTATTTAAAGTACAATATGATGGGATTTCATACAGAAAAAGTCTGAGCAGAAATTATATAGAGAGAAACAAGATTTTTAAAAAGCTTTTTCCTTAATAGGACACGTCTTTGATTTTCCATGAAGCTGTAGTACTGTGATACTACTGAGAAATGCCTTTTTGCAGAGAGGTTTGTAGGAAGAGCCAGCAGGATCTTCCAGCAAGCCAGCTGACATAATTGAAAAGAACATGCAAGCTTTCCTGCATACAAGCCTTTCCTTTTACAGGAGATGACTTCCCTTCCAAATGTGGCAGAAGAACACTGCTGCTTGACCCAAAGAATAGTAGTCTTTTTATTCTTGTTTTTTCTTGGGTGGAACTGCCCTACTGTTTTTTTTATTTGATTAGAAATAAAAAATGATCAAGGGATTTTGCATAACAGCTACTATAAACCTTGCTACCCTGGCCTGCCAAAAGGCAAAGACTAGCTTACTGGGCTGAACAAGTCTGGTTTCTTTCTAGCACTCTTGTGATTTGCAAACAGGCACATTGCAAAGCAGGGCTTACTTGCTTTTGACCATTTCCCTCCTGTGTTTCAGTTGTCACTTGATCTCTTTCTTCAATTGCACTGTAACGATGACATGCAAATATTTGCAAATGAATGCTACAAAACACTCTTTAACCACCCAGGATAACTGGTAATACTTGTAAAGCAGTTTTTTGATCAATGCATGTTTGCTGTTGCTTTGTTAGTTGTGAGATAGAATCCTGCTACTTCTCCTTACTCCAAACATACATTTCTTCAATCTGCTTTGAAATTCATTTCTTAGCAACTACCCTCCACTCTGATTGCATCAAGTCCTGTTACCCAAATTTGCTTTTCTTTTCAGATTTACAACTTTACTGGACCCAGAAACTCTGAGATGAAGTTCACGAAAAGATATGGAAAGTCCATCTTCAGATTCCTAAAGCTGGGATGTAATTGATCGGTGTCTGTCTCAGGAGTTGTGTATTTACAGAGGTATACACCATTGACAAAATTTGGTATCATAATTCCATGAAATTGTACATAGTGGAGGCTGCTATCTCACATAAAACTTACACCAGATACCATCTCTCTCAATAAAGTGGAACATAAAGAAAAGGTAATGAAGAATTTTTGTAATAAAGCAAGATGCTGAAATAATATATTTTATGATAATATTCTGCCCATCCTATTTCAATGGTGTCTATACTTAAAATAATTTAACGCATTGCAGGATGAAATGAGATTAGTTTATGTTCCATATTTTATAAAGTCAACGGAGTAGAACAAGACAGATACATGAATCCACTACTTTTAATGCTTAGGTTAAAAAATATCACTGAACCTGCCCCTGCAATTATGTACAGAGTTGAAAAAGAAGGCATGAGCTTCTTTACAAAAAAAGTCTCCTTGCTTTTCTGCAGTTTACAGATATATCAGGCCAACACCTGACCATTAAACAGCAAGTTTTTAGGCTTCTTTTTGCATGGGGTTCTGGAAAACTTTGGAGCTGACTAAAGATGTAGCCATCTTCTCATGTGCAGCATAGAGAGCTTGTTTTTTCTGAAGTTTATGATTTGTTCAGATCCCTCTTGTCCTGACATTCAGCCTCATGAGTAATGGTTTATTCTTTAGATAGCAAAGACTTCGGATTTTCTCTTCTGGATCTGAACTTCCAAGGTTCAGGTCACTTCACTTCTGCTTCCAGGTGAAAAAAGCTATAGAGGTACGAAGCTCTGGGAAAAGGTCTGATGGAGGAGATTTGTGGGTTTATGCTGAATATGACTCAGA